GAGGAGCTTTGGGTTTGGGGTCTAGGGTTTAGGGTTTAGGGTTTAGGGTTTAGGGTTTAGGGTTTAGGGTGGGTTTAGGGTTTAGGGTTTAGGGTTTAGGGTTTAGGGTTTAGGGTTTAGGGTCAGCAGCCTAAGAAATGCCAGCATCTGATTTTATGAGCCTCCATGTTGCGATTCCAGGCAATCCAACATGACCGAGAGACGCGGATCGGTCATGAGTTCAGTTCGGCAGATCTTCGAAGCATGGAAGATGCTTTCGCAGATCCACCATGGACCATGGAGAACGACCTCCGGAAGGCGGAAGCAGAGGTAATGTAGGGGCCTAAAAAGTTGCTTATGTCATTTTTTGGGGGGTGCCTTATTATAAATCTAGTATAATATACACCAAAACCCTATTCTAATAATTTAAGGCCCCTGCCTTATGGACTCCCCTCTGACAGTCGTGACTCCGGAAGCCCCGTGCCCAGGTCTGCTTGATCGAGTCCGTCTTGAAGCACCGGGCTCTGTGACCCCTAAACCCTAAACCCAAAACCCTAAACCTAAAACCCAAAACCCTAAAACCAAAACCCTAAAACCCTAAACCCTAAAACCCTAAACCCTAAACCCTAGTATGTGAGCGTTGTGCCGGGGTTCCTTGCAGCTTTGGAGTTGTGCAGAGGCCTTCCACCTTACTGTCTGGTGCTTAGTAGGGAATGGGGGAATGGGTCCCTATGATAGGGTTTAGGGGTTTGGGGGTTAGGGTTTAGGGTTTGGAGTTTAGGGTTTAGGGTTTAGGGGTCTAGTAGGGAATGGGGGAATGGTTTATAGGGACTACTAGAACGGACCTTAAGGGACGATCATAGGGATCCATTCCCCCATTCCCTATTGAGCACCAGACAGCTTAAGCTCATCTTCTTCGCCAGGCGCCGTGGTAGCCTCGCTACCGAGCAGGATCCGGCATTTGCCTGCAACTTTTCAGAAAACGGCGTGTGCGCCGGACCACACAAGCCTTCGCGATGCTGTGGTTTCTATAGTACTTCACCCCTAAAAAAAGGCAACATCGGCAAAACTGTTGTCTGATCGCATCTGCAGAAACCGTGAACCATTGTTTGGGGGTGTAGGGATTCAGGATGTATGGGTTTAAGTTAGGCCTCAGGGTATGCACCCATGTCTAAGGGTTTGCACCCATGTGTTAGCCCTAGATCGAGGGTCCTTGAGTTCTTGGTGAGCTCAGCTTGGGATCAGCGCAGTGCCACACTTCGGCTGCGGCCACCCCGGAGTGAACGCTCCGAGCCCTCTCCCCCGCAGGAAGGGGATTATTGTGACTAAAACAAATTGGGTTTAGGGGTTTAGGTTTGAGGGATCGATTTTATTCAGGGTTGGTAACTACCTAGGTAGGAGTCTAGCCAAACTCGATAAACAATGCACAGAACACACCCCAGAAAACCCTCTTAGCTCTTAGCCGAATACCTAAGCTCAAGACCTTAAACCATCTTGAAACTAGAGCGCAACACCACAAAACCTTAAGCCCAAAACCCATTACAGAGCTCCTGGAGGATCCCTCCAAAGGAACCCTGAATCTTGAACCCTAAATCCTAAACCCCGAAACCTTAAGCCCCAAACCCACTCAAGACATCCTTGAACGAAGCATTCAGCCGGAAACCCTAAACCCGAAACCCCAACCGGAACCCTATAAATCCTTCACCCGAAACCTCATAAACAGCAAACCCAAAATCCAAACCCGAACCCCACAAATTTAAAATCCTAAACCCCAGATCCCCAAACCCACAAATCTCTTTGGGCAGCTTCAGCTGACACGGAGGCGCCTTTCCTCATGGGCATCGAGAACTTGCCTCCAGAGGACCGGTGAGGGGGGGCTCCTGTAAAGGAAAGGGTTCCTGGTAGCCCAAAGGGTCCAGACATATGTAATGTATTTACATATATGAAGTACATTATATATATATATATATATTTATATTTATATTTATTTATTTATGTACATGTAGTCTAGTTCCATAATAGTAGTATATATGGACGGGTTGCTGCAAGGGTTCTCTAAGTCGGTTTAGGGTTCAGAGTCTAGGGTCTTGAGCGTTCAGGACTTAGGGATTTTATGAGGGGTCTATAGGCAGTTGCCTGTTTTTCTTCACGGTTTTAGTATGCTTTAATATGGTGTTCGAGAACTCTTTTTTTTGGTGGTGATCTAGAGGGTTTTCGGTGTTTTTAGGTGTAGGCTTTAGGCGGTTGTTATTAGTTCGCTTAAGGTTTTGGGTTAAGGGATTCGGGCCTATCGAGTTCTATAGGGTGTGTGGTTTAGGGTTTGAAGCTTAACTTTGGCACATACACATTTTAATAACTCCCATAGAACGTTATACTATGTGGATCTGTTTCGTCCGGCTTGGTTCATTCGAGCGTTACTGTCTAATTACATGTGTGTTTTCAGACAGCACAATGCAGTAGAACCCCATCCCCAAACATTCTAAAATCCTAGCTATGCCACCAGACAAGCTAATTCTAGTACTTAGAGGGTCATGGGCTCCTAGTTTCGCCAAAAAGCCAATCAATGTACTAACAACCTTACAAACCGGGTTGCTTGACCCTAAACCCTAAACCCTAGCAGCCTTACTTACTAAGTGATTTGTTATTCCTCCAAGTAGGGGGCTTCCACACACCAGCTTCCATGCTTGGTGTGTTTTTTTGACCGGAGCTGCTGAGCCAACAAACAGATCAGCACGTGTATGTTCATGGTTCATGTTAGTTTCAGGATTCAGTGTGCTGCTCGTGTATTTCTCCATTTTCCGTTGTCAGGAAGCGAAGCCTGCTTTGGACAAGATGGACAAGGCGGTTTAGGGTTAAGGGTTTAGAGCGACAAGGCCGGATTCCTTGAAGGGCTCCTTTATAGGTTTTTGAGGTCTGTATGGGTTCAAAAGATGACTGACATGCTCCTACACAGGTTCGGGCAGCGGTCAAAGGGTTCCGTCAAGGGTCCGGTACAGGTTCTTTTAAATGCCGTTTGCTGGCTATGCGGGGTTTAGGGACTGGGGTTTTGTTCGGGTTTAAATCAACCACCCAGAGAGTCCGATACCCTTAAATAAGGAATATAGCCTAAATCCTAATATGAAGCTCTTTATAATTTGAGCTATATTCCTTAATTAAGCTGTATTGGGTTTCTGGGCAGGTCTTACAGTGGAATGTGGGGGCCGCAGGCAAGTTTTGCAGACATTTCTTTGAAGCAGATGTGCAGCAGCTTCTCAGGGTAGCTTAAATATGTTCAATGTAAAATCCCAAATAAGCAGAAACTCTTGTAAAAGGAGCTTATAAACCCTAAACCCTCCTGAGGTTAAAATTGCGGCCCTGAAGCAAAATACAAGAGACAAGGATAGAAACTACAGATAACTGCATGGGGGACCCTAGCAGCCTCAAAAACACAGGGGGCAGGGGCACTGGACACCATCTCAAATGGAGGGTGCTGCCCTTGGTGCCTGGTGCTCAGAGAAACCTGGGCGGGTTCATTTATGGAACGCTTGAAGGAAGACCTCATGGATCTGGCCCTTCGGTAATGATGAAGGCAAAGCCATACAGTTATATCCTCTCCTGCACCACGCACTGGCTCTTACAGGGCTAGACCCTGCGTGGCCAAGCCACATTTACCACATGACCAACAGGAAGCAAACTCTTCAGGACCACAGCTTTCAGCTCCTGGGCCATCTTCACCAAGCTACTGGTGGCAGATTCGAAACCAGAGCGGGGGCATCTGGTTTCGAGTCGTGGACACAGCTGCTGCCTATCAAAAACCCAATGGAAACAAGATGATCCGGATCAAGCGAACTTCTTTCCCTAAGGGTCCATGTACCCAAATCGTAGAACATCAGCCCTAAAGTACCCAAATAGGGACTACATTAAGGCCAATGTTCTACTATTTAGGTACATGGACCCTTAAGGGTTTCAGGAATTCGAGGCAACCCTAAAACCTAAACCCTAAACCCTAAACCCTAAACCCTAAACCCTAGACCCTAAACCCTAAACCCTAAACCCTAAACCCGTATCCTGGCAGCATGGGCTTGGGCTGAAGCAGAAGACTGCTTTGGAGGAATGGCAGCTGGAGGGCCTGACACAGCTGACCCAAGACAGGTAGCCTTGTTCAGGGGAAAGCTGAACAAGGGTTTAGGGGTTTAGGGTTTAGGGTTTAGGGTTTAGGGTTTAGGGTTTAGGGCTGAACAAGGGGCAAGAGACTGATCTACTTCAAGTTGCTGGCCACTCTTGGGTTCGCTTCTGGGAAGTGAAACACCCTGCAGGAGCACGTCTCAGAAGCTTATGCTGGAACCCCAAACCCTAAACCCTATACCCTAAACCCTAAACCCTAACTGATCTTTGCTCAGACGAACTCATCATTGATAGTTTGCCTCCAGATCTGAAGACAAGGGTGGGCCAGGCAGTGACAGGCCACGGTTTGCATTGCGGGCAGGGGACCCCAGGGTAGGACCACAACGGTTTAGGGTTTAGGGTTCCCTAAACCCTAAACCCTAAACCCTAAACCCTAAACCCTAAACCCTAAACCCTAGCAAGGGGTATGCCGGCAGAGCTTCCATGGCCAGAGCAATCTAGACTTGGAGCAACATCAACCGGTGCCGCAGGGTCAAATACAGTTTGCCCTCATAGGCACGGCAAAGCATTTGGGGGAGCATATGTGATACTGTTGATGATACAAACCCTGCATTACCTTAAGGACCCTAAGCTATGGGAATTATGGTATGCTCCCTATTATGGGTAATGCAGAGCGTATACCATCAACCATAGTCAGGTACTTGGAGATTAGACGTAGGGTTTACGGCTGTAGATTGGTGCTAAATCTTGAACGGTAAGCCCTAAGCTGCAAGAGCTGATATTTCATGGGTATATCGGTGCGTTTCAGACAATAGGCAACCCCAGCATGGACCGCTAATAGGGGGACGTCGGAGCCTTAATGACTCCTAAATTTTACATGGTGCCCCGTCAGTCTAGCGACCGCCCACAACAGTGTCTTGTTAGTCCTCATCGAAGTCCGCAAAATGCATCAAATCCCTACAACTATAACCCCATTCCGGGTTTGTATCAACACGCTCCGAACCCTTAAACTCTGTATTAGGATCCTTGCTTTTTGCGGGAGGCAGCGTCTTTGGCACTCTCCGCCGTTGCTGACGCGCACAAATATGCCGAAACCCCCGGTGAGGGGGTTTCTTCGTTTTTTTGTTTCTTGCCGAGGCAGGTGAAGGGGGCTCGAATTCTACGGTGCTGCACCGGCATTTTTTAAGTTGGTGTCATTTAGTGATAGTGGGTGGGGTGGGATTACTGATGAGGGAAGCGATGTTTTTAAGGCCTTTGCGCTATGATTAAAGCAGGGGGTCAGAGGTTCAGCGTGTTGCTGGTATTGGGAATCGGTTTTACGTTTTAGCAGTTCGAGTTTAAGGGCCAGGCCGATGTGCTGGCGCCTTAGATGGGCTTTCACTGACATAAAGACCAGGGTGATCATTACCTAACAATGACTTTGGTTTAGGGGATTAGGTTCCGGGGATTTGGTCTTTCAGGCTTTAGGGGTTTAGGGTTTATAGGCTTAGTTATTTGCCCTTGTCATCGAACCAAGCTGACGCTGCTCCGGCCCAAAACCTGGGCCAAAGGCTCCTGGTACGAAACGGACACGGGAACCCCGGCATCCGTGAAAGCCGAAACGGACCAGACAAAACGAAAACCACGACGACAAATTCAACACGGAACCCGAGCGAAATGAAAACGGAACCGGAATCAAACAACCCTGCCCGCGGGAATCGAAGCCAAATTCGAAGAGTAAACGGAAGGGGAATCTCCGCTGGGACCACAAACAGGACAAAAGGAAAGACACGAGGCCAGGAACGGAAACGTGCTTGGGTCAATGCTGCCAAAAGTGGCTACAAAAACCGTGTAAGTTATAATTGTATTTGTTCGTAACAACTTTCTAGAGCCCCGCTGCAGAAACTCTTCTTGCAGAATCCGGTGGAAGAAAAAGCGTCGAGCCCTCGCCATACGCCATATAAACCCCACACCCACCCTAAAATCCAAAACCTCAAAAATTCTAAATTATAAGCCCGAAAATCCTAAACCCTAAACCCTACACGCCTTAAAAGCCCGAAACCCTAAACACTACACGCCCTGAACCTTAAAGCTTCACAGCCTCGAGGTTTTAATCCGGACTCCCGGGAACCCTACTTCTACGTCCGCGTAGGATTCCCCAGGAAGGTTTCGGCCAAGGGCTCATCCCGGACCCCTTGGGGTTCAGGTTTAGGGGTTTAGCGTTTAGGGGTTATGGTCCTTAATAGTTGAATAGTGGGTATTTCAGGAGGTGGGTATAATAGAGGCTGGTGGGGTGGTCTGGGATAGGGCCGATGCTTACGGCTTTAGGGTTTTTGGTGGCTTTAAGGAGTTAAGTGGTTTAGGCTTGTAATTGTGATGTTTACGGGTTTGCAATTTAGGGCAGCCAAGGGGCAGCTAACTACGACAGCTACTTGAAGGTTCCGGAGTATCAAACAAATACTTACTTGTGTTGGGGGGTAGTGGTTTCCAGGTAGAATTAAGTATTTAGGCGACTTATATGATTGGCTAGTATGCACTTGAAGCTGTTAAGGGCCGTAAAACCTTATAAAAACAGCAGTAGAAAACAATGCATAAACCGTACAGATCAAACCCTGTAAAATTCTTATCAAGTCGAAAAGAGTGCCTTACAAAGCTATCGAAAACTCTTCACAGCAATTTTAGTTATTGCCAGAAGGTTACTTGGAGATTCATGGGACTTGGTAAGTACCTGTATAAGTACCGGAATGTGGGTTACAATTAGTCATTTGTACCGTTACGTTATTTATAATCCTAGTCACCAAGTCCCATGAGCCTTTAAGTAGACCCTTAACCAAAAGCCATTAAAGGGAACAAGGAACCCTTAAACCCTAAACCTAGACCCTTAACCCTAAACCAGGAACCCTTTAACCCCAAACCCAGACCCTTAACCCTACACCCTAAACCCTAAACCCTAAACCCTAAACCCTAAACCCTAAACCCTAAACCCTAAACCCTAAACCCTAAACCCTAAACCCTAACCCGTAACAACCATTAAAGGGAACCCCAAAGGGAACCCTTGAGCCACAAACCCTCATAGACCCCTTTAAAGAGCCCGGGTGAGTCCCTGGGAGTCCCGTGGGTCACCGTAAGGGCACATGAGGACCCTAGAAACCTGTTTAGGGTTTAGGGTTTAGGGTTTTACCTGTTGAGGGTTTACTTCTCATGACTTCTCCATCCTAAGAAGGTAGGTCTTTTGGGGTTGACCCTAAACCCTAAACCCTAAACCCTAATTAGGGTTTAGGGATTTAGGGATGGAGGAGTAGGTTCGAAGGTGCAGAAGGTTTGCGGTTTAGTTGAGGGGTTCGGAGTTTGGGCGCATGAGGACACTGATGTTCCAATGTTTGGGCAATCGCTGCAAAATCGAGCTTGTCGTGTTTAGGGTTTAGGGTTTAGGGTTAAGGATTAGGGTTTAGGGCCTAGGGTTTAGGGTTTAGGGTTTTGGATGTACTGGGTTCCCCTCAATCCCCACAACAAGGAGGAGGGGTACCTTATTTGGGGTCCTTACAATAAGGATTATACTATTTGGGGTACTATATTAGGGTCCTCTATTTTCGGAAACGGCCGTATGAATCTTGTTAAAAAGGGGTTTAGGGTTCAGGACCTTTGGTTTTCTTATGGATCTCTTAGGGAGGGGTCTAAGTGCTGCACGTTTTTAAATCCTGACCTAGGTACCTTGAGACCTGGTTTAGGGTTTAGGGGTTAGGGTCGTAAACCCTAAACCCTAAACCCTAAACCCTAAACCCTAAACCGTAACAACCGCCACTGAAACCCAAACCCTGCAGCCTTACAGTTCTAAGTTTGATGAGCCCCTCAACCGTGAACTCTAAACCTTACCCTAAGGGTCCATGTGCCCAAAAGGGTTCCTTTAAGGGTTCCTTCAAAGGGATTCTATAAGGGTACTATAAGACTATGAGGGTTTTGGGT